TCGCCTTTAGCCTTCAACAACCGTTGTCCGCGCATACCCGTGCGGTGCCCCAACTCGCGTCACAACCCGGAGCTTTGTCACCCCCAGACCGTAACCAATTATCCCCGGTAGCCCTGCGTTTTGCCGCCACCTTGCGTGCGGCTCCTGCGTGCACCCCACCCGCCGCTCCGTCTCTTAAGCCCTCCTCACGGCCCCAGTCGCTTCTCGCTCAGCGCCATGAGTCCGTCTTCCGTCCAGCGTCCTCCGAAGACGTCGTCAGCGCTTGGGGCGATCAGCTGGGCGGCGTCATCGGGTGTTTGCGCCACCGGGAGAAAATGGCCGCAGTTTCCGGTCGGGCTGCCGTGGAGTCACGCTGGGCTGCCGGGGGCTCAGCGTTCCCAGGGCCGGCGGCGGCGCCGGGCCGGGTCCGGCAGACCGCCGCCGCCGCGCGCCGCCGCCGCCCGTGCCACCGCCTCACGCGTCACCACTGCCGCCGCCGCCGCCGACGCTGCCGACGCTCCCGCGGCGAGGCGTCCGTCCGTGTCGCGTCCGTCCGTGACTGGTGGCCAGTGGGAACGGCGTCTGGGTGGCGCCGACCGCAGCGGCGCGATGCTCACGTTCGTCGACGTCCCGCGCTCGCCGCCCAAGCGGCAACCGCCGCCGCCGTCGGCCGAGTACCAGCTGGCGTACGTGCCGGTGCTGCTGCGCCGGCCACGGCCGCCCGAGCGGCGCTACTCGATGCTGGTGGACACGGCGCACGCGCAGGCGGTGCGCGCCTCGCTGCGCCACGGCCTCCGCAGGTCGAGGTCGGTCAAAGCCAACCGCCACAGCGCCGTCGTCGACGAGGTGCTGACCGGCAGCCGCGGTAGCTCGGCGAGGTGAGAGCGAGGGATGCCGCTGATCGGGGAGTCAGCACCGCTGGCTTTCGGTCGCGAGCTGAAGATTTCTTGCTGCGGACAATCACGAACCGTCTTATCTTGATGCCTGGGCTGTCTTCTCTCCGTTCGTGGACCGCCCGCCGATCTCAGAAAAGCTATTGATATTCCGAGTTGGACTCAATACCTAAAGGCTTCCGACTGTGGACTGGTTTCTGATCGCTGATGCCGCTCCTGCACGTGATCTGGTATTCAGGGCACTCTGGACGCCACGCCAGGCTTCCCGCTGGCGCTGTCGGGTCATTCCCCGACACCCGGGGCTCCCCAGGCCCGGCCCGGCTGCGGCGCCGGTCGTTCACGGCGCGGCCGCGGCGTGGGAAGCCTGGCCGGAAGCGTTGGCGCCGGTCCCGGTGCGCGCGCGCCTCCATCGCGAGCCCCTCTCCGGTCGGCGCGTCGGGGACGGATCTCACCTCGGCCGCCGCCGCCGCCGACAGAGACAAACGGCGCCGCCTCTTGCCAAAATAAACAGCCCACCAAAAACGGGAGACTGTTGCACGGTGGGGGTCTGCGCTCGGCGAGGCGGGACAGGCCGTCGGCTGGGCGCTCCGCCGCCGCGTAACCGGTCTGCCCGGTCTGGACACCGTTCACCACGCTCCTGAAAAAGCTATTTCACGGACTCAGACGCGTCTTTTGTCAGCGTGGTCCCAACTGCAGTATTCCCTCGCAAGTGGAACGCGTTATCTCAACCGTGCGTTTGCACGAGGTATTTTTCTCAGACGGCTGACCGCTGCGTGTGGGAGGAATGATCAGTCGTTTCTGTGATAGATCGTGGGATTTGATCGTGGGAGTGAACGCGGCGATTGAATGAGTGAAGTCGGTGGAAATCCCACGTCCGGAGGATGCGCGGAGGACAGGTGAAGCCGTCGAGCGGTCCAGGATTCTCGACGGGCTTGTCAAGCCTGCTTATCCTATTTCCGTCAGCCCAATCAGTGTCCGAATCTCTGTTGTATCGCGTAGTGAGATGCGCTGCGCGACCTCGCTCCTTCCTCCACTGGAATGCTTTCCGCTTCCGACGACGATAAGCTGCGAGGATAGACTCCACACCTTGCCGTGTCCCAGCGATGGAGGAGATATCCGTGTTTGGATGTCTCCCCCAGGCCCGTTTCCCTCGGCGACAATTCTAAGATCATACGGAGCGCAGTCAGCTTCTTGTTTTGTTTATATTGGTGCCCTTATTGGTGCGATATATCCACACAAAAACTTGCATTTGAAAAACAGCACCCGGGTGAAGCAGTTGGGCATATTTACGTTGTTCCGTTATCACCTCGTCGAGTAAATGTCAGCTCATAACAGTGTAACGTGAACAAAGCCGCGGCGTGGCCCGTCTCCAGTCCAGCCTCCGACAGCTGCAACGGATCGACACCCTCTCACAGCGGCCTCTCGCCAAGCCTGTCCGTCTGCCGACGTTTACAACCGGTCCTGCTCCTCAACCGAAGCGTAGCTGTTCGTGGAAGCCCCGCGTCGAACGCGCGCGGCCGCGGCCGACCCTCCGTCGAAATCGACGGGGTGCCGTCGGCAGAGCTGCCCCTCCCCCAGCCGACGCGTCGGATCGATTCGCCTCATGGCGCCGCCGGAGCGCCGTCGACGGCGACGAGGCGAAATCGACGGCAGCGACGCGTGGCCGTCGGAGCGTGCTGCCGCCGGGGTCGGCTTTCTCGTTGGTCCCCCGGAGAGGGGTGCCTCTCATTTGGGCCGTAATAGCGCCGGCTTTAAATGCTAATTCGGGCTGGTTTAATGATGGAGTGTCCCCGGAGTGCAATACGACAGCTGGCGCGCGGTGGAGGCGGATGTGGCGCCACGACGAGAAGGACGCAACTGCGATCTTTATGCGCCCCTGTCGCTGTCGATGATGTGTGGCCTGGGAAAAGAGCTTGCAGGTGTAGACTGATGGCGATCCTTCAGTCTGTAAGCTTTATTCAGACATGCTATTTTTAGAGAGGTCGTGGCTCTTATCCTCGCAGAATAGTCCTTTAACAAACGGTGCTCGTAGAGCGTCTGAAACAAAGGTCCACGCGGAAAACTCGTCCACTTAGCCGGTACCTGAGCGTCTCAAAACTGGATTTAATGGGCTGGCCCAGTTTGTCCCACGATTATCCTGCTGCCACGACAGCTCACGCTGCCTGCGGACCTCAACACTCAGCCCAGGACACAACCCGCGTCCTGACCGGACCGCAGACCAAAGATGCCGGCAGCCGAAGCCAGACAGACGGAGCGCCGCCTGACCAATCATCCGGCGCCAACGATCGGGGACCCGCCGACCGCAGCTAACGACTGCGCCCGGCGGGGGCCTTCACGGTCCGGCGAGCGCTCCCAGCCAGCGCCAGAGGCTGCCGTCGGTCGCGCGCGACTTTTCTTGCCGCGCCGCCGGTCACGATGGGGTGAGGTGGTGAGTTGGTTTTTGTGGAGTTGTTGCCGGTTGCGCGGTGATGAGGAGAGCGCGCGAGTCGGCTGACTTGTGGGATCAGGAATGTCGTCGCGTTGGGAAGAAGTAATGGGTTCTAGCTGTTTGTTCCCTTCGCGTTAGTCCGTTTCCTGGATCACCGAGCACTTATTGGATTGACTTTTTGCGACCTCGCAAGAAGTTTGCCATACGAGATCTTATTACACACGACCAAGCAACGACGGGAAAATACCGGGACGTCTCCCGCAGCCAGGATGCAAAAAAAAAAAACATTTCTGCATAAGCCGTCCGTCACCGTTTGTACCCATTAATAGTCAACAGTTTTTGCGAGGTCGCAAAAACTGTCGGCAAGTAATCGCCCTTATCCTGGTAATCAAAACGAAGACGTCTTCGGGGTTCGCTGGAATGCCGTCTGGCAGTGTTGTCTCGAAACAAAGAAAACGCGGGCTCGCACTGCGCCCTCCCAGCCAGCACATGCTCGCTCTCACGGTACCCACCTGGAAAACCGCAGACAGTTTCCGAACGGCAAATGCTGCTTCGAAAGGTAGTGGAGTTAGTGCAGTGTCGTGTACTTTGAAGAAGCGGTCGTGTCTGGCGGCAAACTAAGGCCGACTCGATGGACGAAAAATACTAAGTTGTCGATAATGAGGAGCAATGTGTTATGCGCTGTCGCTCGGTGTGCAGTGCTGTGTTCTTTGAAGAGGCGGTCGTGTCTGGCGGCAAACTAAGGCCGACTCGATGGACGAAAAATACTAAGTTGTCGATAATGAGGAGCGATGTGTTATGCGCTGTCACTCGGTTTGCAGTGCTGTGTTCTTTGAAGAGACGGTCGTGTTTGGCGGAAAACGAAGGCTGGTTCGATTGTGGAAAGATACGAAGTTGTTGATAATGGGAAGCGATGTGTTGTGCGCTGACGCTTGGTGTACCCGCTACGGTGTATGGGTTGCTGGGTTTGCTGGTTTCTGATGTGTATGTGTGCATATCAGGTGTCACCTGCCATTTCCGTGCAGGAGCTCAAGTTGCAGTCTGGTACGGGATTTAAGAACGCTGCACATCCCCGTGATTTCCAGGAAGGAAGGAATTTGCTACCGAGCGTCAATTTGCACGGATCAGAAGAAAGAATGCACGCCCTCCTGGCCTCCGCCCTTCTCATCCACGCTCCGCCTCCTCAAAGTCCGCGCCCACATCGCGTAGGAGCCGCACCCGGCCAGCCGTGTGCGGCGGAAAATCGCTAACTGGCCGCCGGATCACCAGAACGGCGCGACGAGCGGGCGCCACACCTGTGGAGACGCCGCCGCCGGTCCGGGGCGGGGCGCGCGGGCTCGCCGCCGGCCGAAGGAGCTCCGCCCTGGGGCGGTGGGGGGGGGGGGGGGCGGTGACGGATCGCCGTGTTCTGTCATCAGCGGAGTGATGAAGCACGCGCCAGGAGAGGACCACGAGCTGACACGCTGCGGTCCATATATTGATTTTTCGAAGTTAGGTCCTCATTGCACACATGCTATGTTTCCTTTGGCTGCAGGAGGCGTGGTCGATCAATTACGTCTACTTGCTATTCGCCGGTTCATCGAACCCGATCGGCCCGATGGAAAGAAAATATTTGGTGTGCAGAGTGCCGTTTCGTGCTCGAATTCTTGCGTCGATGATCGCCGTTCGCTCAGTAACAGCGTATTTCTCTCGTGTTACAGGGTGTCGTTTGGCAGCAGTAAAGGCTCCATGGTGGAGACGGTGGTGTACGACTACGAACCGGTGCAGACGCTGCGTGAGGAGGAGGGCTGCGAGTCCCCCGACCCGCGCGCCTCCTCACGACACAACTTCGCCACGTCCACGCCGCTGTCCGCGCCGGCCACACGGTAAGTCCACGCCGCCGTCCACGCTCCGGTCCACACTGGGATCTACGCTCTCCTCCACACCGACGTCTACGCTGGGATCTTCATCCACGCCGCCGTCCACACCGGCGGCCTGATCGTAGTCCACAGTGTCGTCCACATCACCGTCCACACTACCACCGACGTGGACAGAAGTCCTGAGCGTTGCGCACCTGCGCCGGCATGGCACGTGCTGACGCTACCTGACGTCAGCTTCGAGACGGCACAGACGTTCGTTGGCCACCATTTGGAAAGAGTGGCGGTGATCTGGACTTGAACTCGACTAACCACGTTGTATCTGCTCTTGTGGAGCGTCACACGATCACCGACACTGACCGCGTGTCCAATCCCTTCTTCACCAGCCCCTCGCTTGCGATGTTGTGCCGGCCGACGGCACCCAATCTCGCCCTGTCCGCGCCGTGGTCGGCGCCCGGGGCTATTTTCTCCCGCGATGCGGGATTACCTCCTGATCCAGCCCCACGCAGTGGCTGGGCCCGGCGCCCGGATCCAGTCGCCAACCGCGCTGAAATGGCCGCTGTCGCCGTTAGAGGAGCGCGGTGCGCCGCTTCGGAACTTCATTTCGTCACCGCCGGCGGCGAGCGCCGCCGCCGCGCCAGATTTGTCCGCGCGCATTTGCATACGCCGGTGCGGCGGCGGCGCGTCGCTCGGGCCGAACGCAGGGTTGACGACCGGGCGGCGTGGCGGTGTCCGACGCGTGGTGCTAGCGCCGGTGCCGGTGGCGGCGCGACGCGCGTTTTTGTCGGAGATGCGGCCGTCCCGGCGCCACGCGACGAACGCGGCGCGCGCCGGCCGCTGCAGCTAACTGATGGCCGCCACCGCCGCTGCCCAATAAGGATAATGGAATTTAATAACAGGAATCGGCGGGGGAGTGGTCTGGAGATGTCGGTCGGGACGGTGCGCCGCCGGGCGGACCCGGGGACGAGTCAGACACGGCCGGGGACCGTTTGATCCGGGGGTCTGGGGAGGCTTGATGGTGGCTGGGGCTCACAATGTGTCGTCGTATTCTACCGTCGCGCCAGTTCTGTGTGGACATCGCTGGTTTTGTTGTGCGTGCCGGCGGGTGGGCTCGAATTCGGTCCTGATAAGTGGGATGCTCATAATCCGTTGTCAACCATGCTGAAGGTCAGGTACGCACCGTGCACACAGTGGTGTGGGGGAGTGTGTTGCATGATTTTGCGCATATGAAAAGTTCTCACGTCACACATTGGAAATAATGTGCTGTGACGCCTCAGACGAGGGATGATCGGGGCCAGGGTAGTGCAGGGTGGTGTCGTGGTGTGGTGTGGTGTCGTGGTGTGGTGGTGTCGGTGTCGATATACGAGTGTAAGGTAACGACAAGTAGAGACGGTAGAACGTCGGTGCCAGTCTGGAGATGTAATAAGCGAGCGACTGGCAAACCAAGGAACAAAACGAGCAGGAGACCGGCTTCAAGAGATAACGCCAGAGTGCTAGCAGATGTTGAAATCATATGGCTACTGGCTGGTTCCGAGCTCTGTATTCTACCTGCCCTCTCGCCGGTAATTTCCAGCGTTTCCCAAACACTACTGCCACGGCCGGCTACCGCCGCACGCCGTGCAAGCCGTGTCGCGTGCGCCTGACGTGCAGCCGTGCCCCCCACTGTGCCCCCCCCCCCCTGCTTCCGGGCCGCCCGCTTCCGTCACGCACGAACCTCATTAGCGTCTCGCCTTCCAATCTGGCCATCTGACAAAACGTCAGACGGCGGCCGCCGCGTCCGACAGCAGGACGTGCCGACTTCCTCCGGCGGCCGCGGCGCTCGTCGCTCGGGCGCGTCCCGCCTGGCGTGCGTGCGGGCGGAGGCCGGCGGGCAGGTACGTTGGGCTCGTAAACCGCGCCCTGCTGGCCCCGCCGGCGCGTGCGCCGCGCCCGCGCCGATTTCGGCGCCGGTTAGAGGCGCATGCGCCGCTGAGCAGGATCATGGCCCGCGGGAAAGGTGTGGGGGTGGGGCGTGACGGCGCGTGCGTCTCACCGTCGCCGCAGTACGACCGGGGCAAACCGAGCCCCTCCCCAACAGCACACGACATGACAACGTGACTCTTTCGACCGTGATCGAGTCGGACTATAAGACCGCGCGTTTCCGGTGGCGCCACCGTGACCCCCGTGCGCCGAGTTACGCCAGAGTCGTGCTGCTACGCTGGCCGCCGTGAGCTAACGCGCGCGGCGTAAGTGGCGCGCTGGGCTGCGCCACTCGGAGAGCGAAATGTGGCGGGCACGACGACAGCGCTGCGCGGGTCACTTCACTGGCCTTGCGAGACCGGGGCCCGGCCTGTTCTGGGATTGTTTACGCCTGACTTCGAAGCCCGTGCGCCATCAGGACACGGCGAACTCACGCGTGGTGTGACTGGGCTCTTTCTCAGCGTTGCGCGATGGCAGTGGATGCCGCGTCCCAGAAGTGACGCAGATTAGCTGAGGCTGACGGTGGACGCGTGTAGGCCAGTAGTCGTATCTCGTATGGTCTTTTAGACATCGATTGCCTGTCGTACGTTATGGTGTGTTATGGTCGGATCCCCTGATGGGGTCGTAATTCACTCTGACAACAGTGCAACCTGTAATGGCGGACAGTGTGTCCCGCAGGCCCAGGTTTGCACATAGACGGAAGGCCATGAGTTTGAGGGCACTGTCCGGCTTTTGTTCGCCCCCCGTTTCAAGAGGCGCGAAAGGTGCAATGCTAACGAAGTACGTTTGCTGCGAGGCATGTGAGAAATTCGCTATGAAGCATTGTGTTAGGAAGTCATGTCATGGTACGAACAAGCATTGCGTCCATCTACAAGTGAAATGTAACTAGAAGCCTTTCTTTTCCCTCAACTAATTAAAACACTGGTCTTCTTCCAGTCCAAGTGCGCCTATATATCACAGCGTCACACATGTCCCGTGGGGCTCTGCGTGTGAGCTCATTTCCCTACATCTCCCCCTTTCGACTCCTTCGCCCTTTCGTCTGCGACGTACTGTGGCCTGCCTCGCGCGCGGCGTCCGGGTGATTTGACGGCCACGGCGCCGGCCTCCCGCCTCGGCCGCCGCGGTGCCTGAACCAAGCGCGTGGCGACCGCGCGCCATAAACACCGCTGCCGCTCCGCCAGCCTCGCCGAACCGGTCGAAGCTCGAGGCACTCCTCACAAAGACCCGCTCATCCCCTCCCCGCTCGATCCGAGTCCGTCGACGCCGACGGCGAGGGGGTGCGGCTCAAGGGCAGCTGCCGGACGCGCGCGAAGGGCGGGGGCTACGAAGGCGCACGAGGAGCTCGCGGACCGAAGTGATTTAGGCGCCCGCTCGCGGGGCTGTGTGTTTTTCCATGTGTCCCCTGGCGCGAGGCATGCTGGTAATTTATGACCACGTGGAGGCGAGGCTGCGACGGGACGCGTGGCAAATGATTCGGCGGGGATGAGAGGGGCGCTGGAGTGCTAATGGCCTCGGTGTGGCTCTTCTGAGACGGCTTTTTGTATGAAAATCTCATCGGATTCCGGTGGGTTCCGGGAAGCGGCGAGCAGAACGTGAACGAGATCCATCAAAACGCCATAAATAGACGCGAGAGTGGACAGGCAACAGTGTGCCACGAGTCGCATGTTAGCGAAATCGCGGCCGTTGCCGGCTCTTAGATCATGCTCATCCGCCCGTGTTGCTCGTCTGCAGCCATATATAGCTGCACACTGCTGGAGCATGCAGCAGCTTCTGCATCACGGGCTCCCGGCTGAATGGCGCATCTCGAGAGACCCGTCAAGCGTCCAGCTCTCAGTCCTGCCAAGTACCGCGCTGGCAGTCCGATGGAACTCTCTCCAGCCCGTCCACCGCGAGCCTCTCAGTCCGTCGCCCGCTCTTCCATCGGTCCTGCTCGGTCGGCCGGTGACCCCGGGCTCCCAGCCGAGCGCTCGGGGCGACGCACGCTCGGCGACATCGGCGACCGGTCGGCGTCGCGAGCAGCCGCCCGCGCCGCATTGATATGCGCCGCCCGGCGGGAGCCCCGGACGCGGCCGGGGCGGGGCGCGGCCGGCCGACGCCGCGCCGGGCCCTGGCGACGGCGGCCGGTGCCGATCTGGTGACGACTCTCTGAGCGACGGCGCGTCACGGTCGTCACGTCACGGTCGGCGCGCTTAGATCGCGCCGCGCTGCCCCTCGCCGGGTGACGGCGGCGGACTGGGCGGCGGCCGTCGCGGGCGCTCCGCCGCTGCCGCGCGGTCGGCTGGCGCGATGGCGGTGATGAGGTGACATGGCTAAGCCCCCAGGTTACCGGCCGCCGGCTTGGGCTGAAGCCGGGATCCGGTTTGGTGGTGGTCGCGACCGTTGCTGGATCCAGATCTGGCGTCAGGTCCGGCTTCTGAGTACACCTGAATCTGGCTTATGTGTCTCACTGAGAATTTGGCTGCTGGGCCATTGAACTCGCGGAACAGAAGTCAGCTCATGCTGTCCGCATGCCCCACCATGCTTTGGGCGGGAAAAACCAACCGCTGGGCCCGACGAAACCTGCCTGTCGCTGATTTCCTAAATGGCTCGGTTCTAATCAGATCGTGGAATCTGGCCAGGTGACGTCGCCATACCGCGCCGCTGTGTATTAATTGGCGAATCTGACGGCTTTATCTGTCCAGCCCACCTTGACGGCAGCTGCTGCCCCCACGATCTGCTCGCAGAGCGCTGTCATGGGTCGGACAACCGGCTCACAGAAACGACTCCCTGAGGTCGGCTGTCGGATCCGAACCGCGCGGACTTAGTTCATGTATCGGTCGTGAATGCCTCGGTACCGATTGCATCTCTGGATTTCGCGTGCTGGTTCTTGCTGAGCCGGCAGGCGGGTTGCGCCAGGACAGATGGCCCCCCTGCGGTAGAGTTCATTGCTCACGACTGATGTTATAATCGATGCGGGTATCGATGCCCTGCGCTTCTCGCCCACACAGCGGACATAGCCTAAGAAGCACTTCAAGATGTTGGGAGGCAAAGGTGCATCTAAGAAAATCCTA